CATATAGAGTTTCAAGGTACAAATCACTTTGATCTCTTTGAGATTTGCAAGATGTTGCCAAAGCATTCCCAATCGGCGTGTCTCTGCAATTTTTGAAGGCATAATAAGAGGTATCTATGCACAAAAAATGGCTACTGTCTCTGTTCAAATAATAGACAGAATGGGTACAAATTAGCGGAGCTTTCTTATAATTATCAAATAGGATCGATTTCAGTAGCATATTCACTCCTATCTTTTGCATTTAATTTATGAATAGCCAAAAAAACTTCGTGGTAACAATAAAAAGTCACTTAATTCAATAACTATTTTCATAAAATTGGAAAATGTCGCACTATTCACTTTCACTTTCTTCTTTTTCATCCGTTTAGACATAATCGAAAGCCAACATATACTGGATTAGTTGACAATATGGTTAATAAAATGCAGCTTCTAAACGAATAAGGACGCATACCAAGGAAAAAATTCATTTTATTTCATTCAATTTTGCTTCTGATAGAGTGAATATAAATTCTTTGAGTGATGCTTTCCGTCTAATGCACTATTCAGATGTTGTGTCTGTATAGAAAAACTGTCTTCATACTTAACTTGAAAATAGTTCTTAGTTTTTTGCCACTTCTGGCCTCTATTGAAACCCATCAGATCTAGACCATTGACATTTTTCCGATGAATCCTAACACCTTGACGTCTTCTCCAGAAGATTTTCCAGTGCAGCAGCTAGTCGCTCGTCGGCGCCCCTTTGGGGCGCCACTCGCGGCTAGCCGCTGCCACGTGTAATCATATTATCCTATAAGATCACCCTCTTTGATTTACAACTTATCAAATTCCAGGCTGTTCTTACTTCGAAAAACTTTTAGATTTATAACACGAGAATTCTCGATGGGCAGTCCCGAATCGGCACTTTGTTATCAACTTTTCCTTATTTCTTCAACCCAATTGTCTAGTAGAAAAGCCAGAGTTTTATAAGAATTCCTGATTACGGTAATCTTAGTGCAGTATTCTCAATAAACTTAGCTTTCACATAGATCTTTTCCGCAGCGAATCTAGAGTGTACTGGCAATATTAGTGACTAGGTGTTCGTTGGCGTCCCTCCGCGGTGCCACTCACGGCTAGTCGCTCCATTATTTGAATACATTAAAACAACAGTCGGTTTTTCTACATTTATGATAAAAGATGTGACCTCATTTACAAATATCTTTTTATATTAGCTTCTTCGAGATATGGTGACTATAGAAATTACACAAGTCAGAACTCCTGAAAAAATATGCAAATAATTGAATAATTAGCGAGAATAAAATATAATGAGACTAGACTTAAATATCAATAATGTTGGATTGACTAAAACTAGGCTTTGAGTTTCAGCAATACTTGTCGGCGTGAATTCGAACGTTGATGGGACCCTAAATGCGTTTTTTACATGAATCCAATTCTACATGTTATATTTTTCTCTGGCACATATCTATTTCGAGAACCACATCTACAAGAACACATACCAACAGAGAAATCCCCTCTTATTTCATTCATATCTACTTTCGATACAGCGAATATAAGTTCTTTGAGTGATGTTTTCTGTGAAATGTACTATTTAAATATTGTATACGTGCAGAAAAGCCATTCTCACACTTTATTTAAATTATTTCTCAGTCCTTTGCCACTGCTAGCCACTATTCAAACCCATCAGATCCACTCTGTTGACATTTATCCGATGAATCGCAACAGCCTGGAGCTTTCTTTCAGGAAAATTTCCAATGCAGCGGCTAGTCGCCCGTCGGCGCCCCTTCAGGGCGCCACTCGCGGCTAGCCGCTGCCACGTGTAATCCTATTCTCCATTAAGATCATCCGCTTTGATTTACTTTCTATCAAATTTCCGACTGCTCTTATTTCGAAAAATAGTTAGATTTATAACATGAGAATGTCGATGAGCAGTCCTGAATCGGCACTCTATTATGAACTATTCCTTATTTCTGCAACCTCATTGTCTACCTGGAAAATCACAGTTTTATTAGAATTCCTAATTAAGGGAATCTTAGTGTAGTATTCTTAATAAACCTAGTTTTCATACAGATCTTTTCCGGAGCGTACGAGGAATGCCCTTGCAATATCAGCGACTAGTCGTTCATCCGCGCTCCTGCGGGACGTCACTCATGTCTAATCGCTCCATCATTTGAATACATTAAAACAATAGTTCGTTATTTTCCATGTACCGTAAAAGTTGTGACCCCATTTACAAATACCGTTTTACATTGACTTCTTCAAGTTAAAACCACTGATTAGCTGAAATTTCAATAGGAAAATATCTGATTAGCTGAAAGCCCAATATCGAAAACCCCTGATTGGCTAGATTTCTAATATGAAAAAATCTGACCGATCGAAAACCCAACATCGAAAACCGCTGATTGGCTGGAATTTCAATATGAACAAATTCGATTGGCTGGATGCCTAATGCCGAAAACGCCTGATTCCCTGGAATTTCAAGCGGAAAAAATCTGATTGGTCGAAATCCTAATACCGACAAGCAAAAGAACAAACTCTTTTTCCGTATGACTCTCATCATTCGAGGAAATCATTGGTCGATAGCTGAGGGTCGAACACCTCTGATTCGCTGGTTATTCAGAGTGAAAAAATATAATTGGTGGCTAACGGAGGATCGAAAAATCCTGATTGGCTGGTTATCCAGAGTGAAAGAGTATGATTGGTCGATAGCCCGTAGTGGAAAACCTATGATTCGGTGATTTGTTGGAGCGAACATATGACTTCGTGATCTTGTCTTTCTTTGACCTTTGTGTTCTTTTGATCTGGTACAAACTCCGCCCGCCACAAACGCTTTTAAGCTTTTTCCGCATCACCCTCCCTTCAGTCGAGGGAATAGTGTGTCAAGCTACATACACAGTAAATTCAAGCATCTGTTTTCTCAATATGTGTAGTGGAACTTTCTTCCCCAAACTCAATTTTTATTGATTGTTGGGTCACCGATGCGGTTTCGAAGAAAACCGCGCACAGAATCGAACTTCTCCCCTTCAATCACCTATAGACAGCGTTTTTCCGAAAAACTCGATTTCGATCGGTTCTCGGTCCATCGATAAGGTTTCGGAAAAATGAAGCTCAGATTCGAACTCCCTGCAACAAATTACTTACAGGGAGCAATTTTTCAAAAAACTCGATTTCTATTAGTTCCTGGTCGACCAATCAGATTGCGAAATTCTATTTCTCCATGATACGCAAGCCGAAACCCCCATATTTACCCCTCGTTCGATACAGCGTCTCTGATAATCCTAGGACTGGCCCGGACATGACTAGCACTTGTCTTGATAATAAGAAAGAAAAGCACTGCTAAAATCTGATTGGCCTATTTTTCAACCAATCACATTGCGAGATTCCATTTTTCAGTGATATGTAAGGCGGAGCCCCCCACATATACCCCTCATTCGATAGAGCGTCCCCGATAACCCTAGGATCGGCCCAAACATGACTAGCACTTGTCCTGATAATAAGAAAGAAAAGCCCTGCTAAAATCTGATTAGCCTATTTTTCAACCAATCACATTGCGAGGTTCCATTTCTCAGTGATATGTAAGGCGGAGCCCCCCCACATATACCCCTCATTCGATAGAGCGTCCCCGATAACCCTAGGATCGGTCCGAACATGGCTAGCACTTGTCCTGATAATAAGAAAGAAAAGCACTGCTAAAATCTGATTGGCCTATTTTTCAACCAACGAGACACCGGGGATACATACGAATTTCTATTGTGAAGATTCCGTCCTTTTATGATTGAGAATGACTATGTGATGTTTTTTTGACCTTTGATCTTTGACCTTTGACCTTTAACCCTTGACCTGCCACAAACCTATTGGATTTTTAAGACGATGTTTTTTTGACCTTTGACCTTTGACCCCG